GCTAGACCATTGCCATTAGGTTGGAGGCCATGGCTAGTAGGTTGGAGGCCATCGTCTCGTAGGTCTGGAACGCTGGGGCTTTTTGCAGGCCGACCGCGCACCGGTTCGTTGGTGTGCGCGTGGTCGGTGTGCGCTCGTGGTGTGCGGGGGGTCGATGTGTTTCTGATAAGACTGGCTTCTCGACAGGCTCAAGATGACGGGCTTCAGCTGACGAAGCTGAGTGGGTGTGGAACTTGTCGAACTTGATCTTGTTCTGCTGAGAGAAGCCGTGAAAGTGGCTAGGCAATTGGCTTCAAAAAGCCACCATCTGCAAGGTGTGGGTAAGTGGATGTAAGTGGATTTGGAGGCCTTCGCTATTAGGTTGGAGACCCTAGTAGTTTTGAGTTCGCCCTTGTGGGAAGAGCTCTCACCAAGGAGTGTAGTGTAGTGGGTGGAGTCATCGCGTAAGCGACCGAGGATCGGTCCATTTCTTTTTCGCTGCGGCAGGTCAGATCAGCGGGGATCGATTCTTAGGCGTGGTGCTTTTGGCGATTCTTTGCTCCCAACCTACTAGCGCAATGGCATCCAACCAAATATAGCCATGGCCTTCAACCTAGGAACGATGGCCTCCAACCATCGGTTCTTTTGTCAGATCGTCGTGGGCCTTTCTTCGTACCGTTCTTCAGTGCTTCGTAGGCATCCCCTGGGAAGGGATGTAATTGCGAGAAAATGGGGCGCACGTGATTGGCCAGTCCGGGCACGTTATCTTCTGCTTTTATTGGCCAGTTTGCTGACTCTCTAAGCTTTACCAGTGATCCAGATGGCTCAAGACAATGAAATGCAAAGAAGTAGAGGATCTGTAGATCACCAGAGACTCATGGAACCAAAATGCCTCATGAACGGGTTCACCTCGGAAGTTACGAGCGCCCTTCAGCAAAATGCTAACTCATTTCAGCCATATTGCCTCGCTGACGCCGTGGCGTATGTTGCAATGTTGCCATGGGTCGGTTCCTTCTAGAGCTCCAGGCAGCGGTTTGAGCCTAGTAGTAATGCCCTTTGTTACTAGCAGCGATGCCCTTTGTTACTAGTAGCTTCTTGCTCCTACTATTAATGCGAGGAGCTACTAGTAGCTTCTTGCTACTAGTAGTAATGCCAGTAGCTTCTTGTTCTTGTTTCTAGTAGTATTGCCAGGAGCTACTAGTAGCTTCTTGCTACTAGTAGCGATGCCCTTTGTTACTAGTAGCTTCTTGGTCCGGCTACTAGTAGCGATGCCCTTTGTTACTAGTAGCCTCTTGCTCCTACTACTAATACCAGGAGCTGTCAGTAGCTTCTTGCTCCTAGTAGTAGTGCCCAAAGCTACTAGTTAGTAGCTTCTTGCTGCTAGTAGCGATGCCCTTTGTTACTAGTAGCCTCATGTGTGCACAAGTCTCACTTCTGAGTATTCATGTATTGGCCGTGCACAGCTCACTCACGCTTGGACATCTGGTCTTTTTCAGGCGAGTCCCCACTGCCACGGAGTCCTCTCACGGCGTTTCCCCACTGCCTTCGTCAGAGCCTCAAAAGGATCCAAAGGATGGAGTCGATCGACCAGTTCCCTCAGGATGATTACACGCAGGCACACCAGCAGTCTCAGGCCAGAGTGAAAGAACACCTTGCAGATCTTGCAGCATCGCAGAAATGGTGTTTCAGCAATCACCTTGTTTGTTGACGAGTTCGATTGTTCTTTCTTTCCAGTTTTTTTGTTTCTTTCTGTCTTTCTTTCTTCAGGCTGATGCAGACAAAGCTGCAAAAGAAGCGGATGCTGGGATGGAGGATGCCCTCAAGGCCCTGAAGCCTTGAAGCCTTGAAGCGGCCTTCAAGAGGCGTCTGCAGATTGCTCCAATTCAGGACACCTCGGAATCCTCGAAGGAGCTTGGGATGAAAATTGGGCGAGAGCAGGCTCGGCTTGAAGAATTGTAGTGAGATCCATTGAGGTCAGTCTGCTTGGTCGTGTTTCGAGGTCAGTCGTTTTAGAACCGCCCTTGGGCCCTTGGTTTGTGCAAAGAAGCGGCACATCTCGCTGCTCCAACCCCAACGTGATTGATATTGAGTCAGCCGTGGCCAACAAGGAAGTTTGCACAAAGGTGATATGCTCAGGAGGATTTTCCATAGCAATAAATTCACACTTGCAGGTAGCTTGCGGATGCAAGTTTTATGTTCACTGAAGTTCACAAAATGTCCCACCGGGACATTTTGGCTCAAGCTGGTGGCAATCATCCACAGGATTGCGCCTGAAGGTTGGAAGAAAACTCCCTAGTACATTGGTTCTTGTTGACGACGACGCAATGGCGCACCCAATGGAACCGGAGTATGTCATGATTGAGTCAGTGCGAGATGCCCAACCAGACGTTGAGGATGGGACTACAATCAGTAGCCCGGGCATGGAGAGTTTGGATCAGGCAGCTGATGCTGCGTCTGCAGCCCTCCGTCATGCGGAGGCGGAAGGAGCGAGGGGCCTCGCCATTTTTGGACAGCCCGTTTTGGCTTCTGAGCTGGATGCTCAGGCGCAGATCCGGGAGTTGGAGCGCCACCTGGAAGCACTCAAGGTCCAGATTGCGGAACGTGAAGATGCGGACATGGGTGTGGACCTCCTGGGGTTAGAGGACCCGGCCGATGGCGGCGCTGGCCAACCCCCCTCTGCTCCTGGTGCCTCTGGCCCAGAGGTGGAGGGGGTGGCACCTACGGCAGCGGCGGCCTTGACGACGAGCCCTACTACACCATCGGCGGCGGCGGCCCAGCCCACACTTTTGACGACCCTGGCGGAACCACCTTTGGCCTGGCCTGTTGCGGCGGAGCCACGCCCGGCGGCACCTGCCGACCAGATGGAAGAGGACATCACTGAGCGAGCGGGCTTAGGTTTCACGCCCCCTGCACCGGCAGGGTATTTAGTGATCCGGTAGATGCCATGGCGGCGGCTTCTTTGCCTTCTACGCCCCCGGCAAAGGCCCAGGCACCGGAGCCTCCGCGACCGAGCAAGAGGCCGGCTCCACAGCCCATGGAAGAGCCCACGTCGAAGACGCCTACCTTGCCGGGTTTTACAAGGGCTTCTGCAGCTACCCTGGGCGCGGTCCCCATGCCAATCAGGTTTCTATCGGTGAGGGAGCCAGAGAACCACGTCCGGTTTGTGATGTTCCGGACTCCTTTCCGGCCATTCCGGGCCACCTGGCGGGGCTCCTCACCTCGTGCACAGAGAAGGAGATGGCTCAGCTCTTTGACCAGTTCACAGGCTACCCTCTTTCCACACCGGTGGTCACCCGCATCATCGAGCAGTACATCCCCCTGCGGGCTCTGGCCACGCAGGAGAAGATTTGGACCCAACGGTACCAGAAGACCACCGACAAGTCCGGCCTGACTGACCAGAAAGGCCTCCACCTACCTGCAGGTGACATGCCCTTCCACTCCATGTGCGGCAAATGCATGACGCCCTGGCTGATAATGCCTCCCGGTGCTGGACCTGCAAGCATGACCAAGCCGTCGAGTACCAGCGACCTACGTCCATCATGGAGGTGGGGGACGAGACCTGGACCCTGTTCTACGAGGCGGGCAGGCCAGTCTGGCGACGAGCTGCTCCCGTCCGGTCCACCCCAGGTCCAGGGGCGCCCTGCGGCGACTGGTATGGACCCTGAAGCGGAGAGGCGCTTCAAGCTGTCACACTCCATTGATGGGACCCAGTATGCCCAGGCCCCGGCGGCCACTTGCACCGAGGAAGTGCGGATGAGGTCCCTTCCGTCTGCAGGGTCCACATCCGACAGGAGATCTTGTCGGCGGACTACGAGGACGATGCTGCGGAGACCACGGAGGCCCATCGCAGACGGCTGGAGGAGCAACAACCCTCCCAGTCCTTCCAGATCTTTCACCCAGAGGCGGCCAAGGCCCTCCGCATTCAATCGGAGGCCCTTCAGGGCCTCTCATCAGCAGACCTCAAGGCGGAGCGTGCCCAATCGGAGGAGGCAGAGCGGCAGGAGAAGGCGGACCAGGTGTCCCAGTTACAGTCCACGGTCTTGGCACCCATCCAGGAGGGCATGCAGTCCGTCCCAGACAGCCAGGTGGGAAGACCTCCTACGGAAGGTCAACCTCATGGACTTCAAAGCTGCCTGAAGAAGAGGATGCTGGAGGAGGCATCGGGCAGCACGGAGGCTTCCCTCCAGGCGGCAGTCACCTCCCTGGAGAAGGCCAAAGAGGCGAACAAAAAGATCCAAGATCAGCCTAGGGCACTGCCTTTATGGAAAAGTTCGCCCTCATCCCCACGGAGCTCTCGGCCTGGCCGGACGACCCCAAACAGAAGCCGGAGAGGGGCCCCTTTTGCCCGACGGCCTCCCTTTTTGTCCGACGGCCTCCCTGGTCTGGCACCAGGTTCCGGACCCCTCGGATATGTTGCAGCACTACCTCCCGACCATGAGGGCACTTCAAAACGGCCAGAACCCCTGGGCTGACCATCCCAAACTGCTGGAGGAGATGCCCGACCTCAAGCACACAGTGGCCACCGCGGCATCTGGTGGGGAGGCGCCAACCCTGGTGCCATTGGCCCAGCGGTGACCGGCCCTGGCATGGCAACTCTCAACGAGATGGGCGAGGAGGCTAAGAAACTGGCCATGTTGCTTTGGGCTCTGAAGGTGCACCGTGGCGAGCTCCGGATGTTTGGCGGGGTCTGGCGCCGGGTGCCTGAGTTTAGTCCGCCACTCCCGGACTGGGCACAGCCAAAGCCAGGGGCACTCACAACCAAGGAGGTGGACCGCGACCGGGCACTGGAGAGACGGACCCACCCGAGCTCCTTCGGCTCGGACATGGTGGAGCCCTTCCACTACACAGATCAGGACGTGGAAGCACAGCGGCAGGAAGGGACTCGGCCGCCACTGGGGTCCATCCTCTCGATTTGGTGGGCCCATGACACCGCCAAGGACGAGAAGTGGCGAAGGGAGAGCCGCACATGGGACCTGAAGTCCCTGATCCACATCTACTCGATGCGGTGCACCTTCAAGTACTACAGCCTGTGGTGCAGCCTCCCCTTGGCCATCGAAGCCAAGCAGCGCGGCAAAGATGCTCCGGGATCCGCCAGGCCCGCAAGGAGGCCAGTTCATTTCTTGCTGCCTTGGGCCTGGACAAGCCGGCGGAGAAGGACGAATGGCGCACGGTGCTCCGCGAAATGGGCACCTTCCTGGCAACCAAGGTCTTCTTGACCAACTGCCCCGCGCCAGTGATGGAGATGCCGGTGGCCCCGGTGCACGACAGCAAAGAGGCCATGCGCTTCAGGGCAATCTGCGATGAGCGGATCACCATCCCGCTGGACGCCTTGAAGCAGTTCCCGGAGGTGCACTTGAAATTGGTGGGCCAGCTCCCGCAGTCGGCCATGGTAGATGTGAAGGTCAACAGGCGCTGCAATGTCACCCACACCTGGGCGGCTGAGGTCCCGGCTTCGGAGGCCTACGCCCTCTATACGCCAAGCTGCACTACTCCCATGAGACCATTCTGTCATTGGGATGCACCCCACCCCCAGGTGCCTCGCGCCCTGAGGGGGGGCTCTGCCCCCATCCAGGGCGACAATCCGAGGGAGCGGGTGGCAAACAACATGGATGTGGGCATCCAGCAGATGGACCTTGGCAGCGAGAGCCAATGTGGCTCCTCGCTACCCGCGCCTCACAGCCAGCAACGTCACTTCCATTGTGGGCAAGGACTGGCGCAAGAAGCACTACCCGGGCGCCCACAAGGACCGGCACTTCTTTTGGGGCGAGGCCGAGTGCGGCTTGATCCTGCCAGCATCTCGGCCTGGGAGGTTGTCACCAAGGAGAAGGGAGCCACCGTTGGAAGGCCTCCAGGGGAGGCAGCCGTTTCCTGCAGATCACCGGCGAGCACCGGGGATCCCTGGCCTCCCTCCAGCTGGTGCTGGACGAGCCACCTGAGGCCCTCTACAACAAGTGGATCAAAGAGCGCATGGAGTTCTACAAGCGGGCGGAGCCTTGCGCTGCCCCCGAGATGAGCGCTTGGAACTGGTGGGCAAGATGAACCATCGTCTGCGGTTCAGCACCAGCAACAACCTGGGGGCAGTGTCCGATGCCATCTGGCAGGTCATTCTGAGCAACGAAGAGATGAAGGGCATCCGGGCGATTCAGCAAGTGGCCAGAAGGTCACGGCAGCGGCCTGAGGGGCCACCAAGTGAGCGCGGGTGCCGTGGGTGACTTGGCCTAGACCGTTTTGTCTCACCCCATTTTGCACCCATTTTGAGCTCTCTGCACATCCGGGCCTGGGCGCCGTAAGTGCCTTTCCCCAGGTCCAGGTGCCAATTGGCCCTGCGCCGGGGGGGGGGAACGCCCGGTGGAAGCCATGGTGCGGCCTGTGCAAAACGTGATGCCCTGTGGAACCTTGATTTTTCATGCATGTCGAGTTGTTGAGTGAGGACTGTTTTGTACTAGGACTTTGAGTTGGCTAAGAGTCCCTTTCACCTCCCCCCTCTCTTTTTCCCCTCGTTTTCATCCCACTGCTTTGAAGGCTTCGTTGGGGAAGCCGGACTGTTTTGGCGGTCTCTGACGCCATGAATTTTACTAGTGAGGCTTTCCTGAATCGCACACCTTATTGTCGTGCTTGGGATTCGCTGCCCCGCCACATTTTTGATACCCTGGTGGATGAGGGATTTTCCCCCCGCCAAACTGATGGAGAGCTACTGGCGGTGGCGTGCTTGCGGGTGGGCAACCCGGACGAGTCCCTGGAACTTGGGGGCCAACCCGCAGCCGTCTTCAGGCCCCTGGTGTGGGGATATGACCCTGATGATCCGGATATTCACATGGTCCCGGAGGATAACCTGATGGCGCTGGTGGCAGCAGCCGCAGCGCGTTAACCATGGGGACTGGGATGACCCAGTGACAGAGGTGGTGGACGCAGATGAGCGGCCCCCGGGATCGCCGCCT